GGACGGTGCGGGCGATCGACGGTGGTTACGACGGAGATTTAGAAGGCACTAGTAAACCACACCTACATATGCAAACTAAGTGTTATTTTTGACCTCAAATTGCATATAAATCAAATACTAGCACATATATATATATTTCCTCCCAAATTACTAAACTCACAAATTAGTAACTATACAAAGAATGGGAAGAGCTAATCTAGCAATGAGAGATGAAAGGACAAAGTTGCTAACCTTTGTGATCACTTGAATGGATGGGGGCCTTCAAATCTTGACAAATTTTGGGCAAAATGTGTGATGAGCTCGAGGGGAGAAGAGGAAGAACAGAGAGGAGAGGAGAGGAGAAAGGGGGAAGAACAGAGCAAGCTGGACGAAGGGTTTATATGCAGGAGGACCTATAGTACCGGTTCGTGGCACGAACCGGTACTAAAGGTGCTGGAGGGGGCCCAGACTGACAACATCCTGCCACCACCCTCATTAGTACCGGTTCCTGGAACGAACCGGTGCTAAAGGTTAGCCACGAACCGGTACTAATGAGAGCGGCCCGGCTAGCCGTTGGAACCGGCACTATTGTATACATTAGTGCCGGCTCTAATACAAATCGGCACTAATGTGCTGCACGTTTGACCCTTTTTCTACTAGTGCATCCGCCTAGATGCACAGTTCGGGACCCCCTAGCCAAGATCCGCCGGTTTTGACACCGACAGGTTGCCTTCAGGATACAAAGGTTCCCGAGTCATTCTACCAGTTCTAGTAGCCACTCTAACAACAAAGTCATTTTTATTATTTAATTCATCAAGCAAATCATTTTGAGCTTTAAGTACTTGCTCAGCTTGAGTAGCAACCATAGAAGCATATTTGCTAACGAGGTGAAGTTCACCTTTAACTCTAGCCAGATTATCGCTTACACGTCCTATCTTGAAAGCATTATTCTTTAACTCTCTACCAACATGTGCATAAAAACTTTCTTGTCTAGCCATAAAGTCATAAAATTCATCTAAGCATGGGCTATGAAATTTAGTAGAGGGGATTTCAACTTTATCATACCTATAGAGAGAATTTACCTTTACTACCTATGTCGGGTTATCAAGACAATGTGGTTCTTCAACAGGCGGTATATTAAGACCATGTATTTCTTCAATAGGAGGTAAATTCTTAACATCTTCAGCTTTAATACCTTTTTCTTTGATTGATTTCTTTGCCTCTTGCATATCTTCAGGACTGAGAAATAAAACACCTCTCTTCTTCGGAGTGGGTTTAGGAATAGGCTCAGGAGTTGGCTTAATTGGTTCAGGAATTGCCTCAGGAATTGGCTCAGGAAGAGTCCAATTATTTTCATTAGTCAACATATTATTCAATAATATTTCAGCTTCGTCGACTGTTCTTTCCCAGAAAACACAACCAGCACAACTATCCAAGTAGTCCTTGGAAGCATCGGTTAGTCCATTATAAAAGATATCAAGTATTTCATTTTTCTTGAGAGGATGATCAGGCAAAGCATTAAGTAACCGGAGAAGCCTCCCCCAAGCTTGTGGGAGACTTTCTTCTTTGATTTGCACATAATTATATATTTCCCGCAAGGCAGCTTGTTTCTTATGAGCAGGGAAATATTTAGCAGAGAAGTAATAAATCATATCCTGGGGACTACGCACACAACTAGGAGCAAGAGAATTGTACCAAGTCTTAGCATCACCCTTTAATGAGAACGGAAATATTTTAAGGATATAATAATAGTGATACTTCTCATCATTAGTAAATAGGGTGGCTATATCATTCAACTTGGTAAGATGTGCCACAACAATTTCAGATTCAAGGCCATAAAAAGGATCAGATTCAACTAAAGTAATAATTCAGGATCAACAGAGAATTCATAATCCTTATCAGTAACACAAATAGGTGAAGTAGCAAAAGCAGGGTCGGGTTTCATTCTAGCATTAAGAGACCGCTGCTTCCATTTAGCTAATAATTTCTTAAGATCGTATCTATCATTGCAAGCAAAGATCTCCCTAGCAGCTTCTTCATTCATAACATAACCCTTAGGGACAACATGCAATACATAATCATTGGGAGAACCTTCATCATCACTATCATCAATAATAGCATTTTCAATAATTTCATTCCCCCTAACTCTAGCAAGTTGTTCATCAAGAAATTCACCTAATGGCAAAGTAGTATCACGCACAGAAGTAGTTTCATCATGCATAGTAGAAGTGGCATCATCAATAACATGCGACATATCAGAATTCATAGCAGTAGCAGGTTTAGGTGTGGCAAGCTTACTAATAACGGAAGGAGAATCTAGTGCAGAGCTAGATGGCAGTTCCTTACCTCCCCTCGTAGTTGAAGGCAAAATAGTAGTTCGGTCGTCTTTCAAGTTCTTCATAGTGATCAACAGATATAAATCCCAAGTGACTCAGAGAATAGAGCTATGCTCCCCTGCAACGGCGCCAGAAATTAGTCTTGATAACCCACAAGTGTAGGGGATCGCAATAGCTTTCAAGGGTAAAGTATTCAACCCAAATTTATTGATTCGACACAAGGGGAGCCAAAGAATATTCTTGAGTATTAGCAGTTGAGTTGTCAATTCAACCACACCTGGATAACTTAGTATCTGCAGCAAAGTATTTAGTAGCAAAAGTGGTATGATAATAAAGGTAACGGTAGCAAAAGTAAAGATAATTGTTTTTGGGTTTTTGTAGTAGTTGTAACAGTAGCAATGGAAAAGTAAATAAGCGAAGAACAATATGTGAAAAGCTCGTAGGCAATGGATCAGTGATGGATAATTATGCCGGATGCGATTCCTCATGTAATAGCTATAACATAGGGTGACATAGAACTAGCTCCAGTTCATCAATGTAATGTAGGCATGTATTCCGTAAATAGTCATACGTGCTTATGGAAAAGAACTTGCATGACATCTTTTGTCCTACCCTCCCGTGGCAGCAGGGTCATAGCGGAAACTAAGGGATATTAAGGCCTCCTTTTAGTAGAGAACCGGAACAAAGCATTACCACATAGTGAATACATGAACTCCTCAAACTACGGTCATCACCGAGAAGTATCCCGATTATTGTCACTTCGGGATTGTCTGATAATAACACATAATAGGTGACTATAGACTTGCAAGATAGGATCAAGAACACACATATATTCATGAAAACATAATAGGTTCAGATCTGAAATCATGGCACTCGGGCCCTAGTGACAAGCATTAAGCATAGCAAAGTCATAGCAACATCAATCTCAGAACATAGTGGATACTAGGGATCAAACTCTAACAAGACTAACTTGATTACATGGTAAATCTCATCCAACCCATCACCGTCCAGCAAGCCTACGATGAAATTACTCACGCACGGCGGTGAGCATCATGAAATTGGTGATGGAGGATGGTTGATGATGACGACGCCGACGAATCCCCCTCTCCGGAGCCCCGAACGATCTCCAGATCAGCCCTCCCGAGAGAGATTAGGGCTTGGCAGCGGCTCCGTATCGTAAAAGGCAATGAAACTTTCTCCCTGATTTTTTTTCTTCCCGAACATGAATATATGGAGTTGGAGCTGAGGTCGGTGGAGGTCCAGGGGGCCCACGAGATAGGGGGGTGCGCCCTACAGGGGGGCGCCCCCTATCTCGTGGACAGGCCCTGGGCCCCCTGGTGTATTTCTTAGCCCAGAAATTCTTATTAATTCCAAAAAGTGCCTCCGTAGATTTTCAGGACATTCCGAGAACTTTTCTTTTCTACACATAAAACAACATCATGGCAGTTCTGCTGAAAACAGCGTCAGTCCGGGTTAGTTTCATTCAAATCATGCAAGTTAGAGTCCAAAACAAGGGCAAAAGTGTTTGGAAAAATAGATATGTTGGAGACGTATCAGTTGCTATTCTGGTGCACTGGTCCTATGGGCCTTAGCACGACGACTTCCCGACTGTATACTACAACAAGTTGTGCCCGACTCCGGCGATGGAGGGGTGATGATGGAGGCGCGCCTTCGGCTCGCTTCAGTGCTTGAAATCGTCGCTAGGTGGTCTACGGATCTGGATGTAATTTTTATTTCTGGTGTTCGTTGTACTGCCATAATTGAAGATGAATAGATTGGAAGTTTTTGCAAAAAAAGAACATTATCCCTAATTGATTCTTTCCTAGGAAACCTCATTACTTTGATTTTATTTTAATTTTCATTTCATTTTATTTCTTCTTAAAGGGTAATAACATTATCAGTAATTCACTCTTTCCTAGAAAACTTCATCATTTTGATTTTGTTGTAAATTTTTATTTTATTTTCATTCTTCTTAAAAGGTAATACATTACCCAAACTTCATTTTTTTTTATTTTTCTTTCCTGTTTAAGGATAATACTAACGCCAGTAATTCATTCCTTTTTAGGAAACTTACATCTTCATGAAAATTACACTATTGTATACTTATTCTTGCATATTATTAAAAAAGCAATTTCTGTGCAATTGTGTCGAAATGTTCAGGCAAATCGATCGCCTTTATACTCATGCAGGTGGAGCATTTGTAGTCCTCTACACCTTCCTTCTCCAATCACATGTGACACGACTCACCTACATCTGCCATGGCCTATCAGTCTTCCTTCCAAACGCCTTTGGGAATCATGCAAGTCAGCGGAGAGGAAGGGAACGCGAGAGATCCGCGCCTTTGGGAATCATGCAAGTCAGCGGAGAGGAAGGGAACGCGAGAGATCCGGGTCGGCGAAATCTCGGTTGTTGCCTCCGCCAGGGGAGGAGACAAACCCTAGGTTTTTCAACAAGGGAAAAACTATTATGTAACTTACCTTGCATGCGACGTGGTTGCCATTACTAGTGGATGCTGAAGCACTTAAAGGAAACGATGAGCAAATGGAGGAAGGCGGTTGCACTCTCCATACTCCATGGTGCGTACTTGTGTATCATGTGTTTGTATCTAAAGCCTCACACGCAATTTTATGGCAACTAGTTCCACCTACAATGCGTCACAACAAGAGCTCGATGTTCTAATTAATATTACAAAGGACAAGTGAGCCGGGGTGTGGGAACCGCATAGAGTCGTGTGGCGCGGGACACGGTGACACCGTTCATGTCGCTCATGTCGAGCTCCGTTGGTTTCATGTCACCGGGTAGCTTCCAGTTGAACCCATGCACAAGCTGCGCGATGGCAAACTCCACGGCGTGCTGACCAAGCCCCTGTGCTGGGCACGAGCGTCGACCCGAACCGAACGACAATAACTCATAGCAGCCACCCTTGAGATCCAGCCCGGTGGCTTCCTCATCTGGCATGAACCTCGATGGTCGGAACGTGTCAGGGTTCTTCCACGCCTCGCCGTCACGGTTGATCGCCCACGCGTTGATGAACACACGGGAGCCGCTGGGCACTGAGTAGCCACCGAGGACGCAATCTTTGGTGTTCCCGTGGAGGTGAATCGGGATCGGTGGGTGCATTTGGAGCATCTCCTTGATGACACACTTGAGGAAGGGGAGCTTGCCAAGGTCCAATTCGTCAACAATCCGGTCAAGCCCCACATTGTCGACGAGCTCCTGCTGCAGCCGCAGAAGGATGTCAGGGCAATGAATCATCTCTGCCATCGCCCACTCAATGGTGAACCCCACCGTGTCCGGTCCACCGAACAACATGTCCTGCACCAACAACATTATTCAGACAAACAATTACGTAGTCAATATCATACATATACGTCTTTCCTTTTTTTTTTGCAAAAGTCATAGATATATGTGTCAAAAGGGAAATATGATGATCTTCTTTATTGGTAAGTTGGCGGCCATCTTCTTCGATCATTCACCAGCTAGTAGTTAATCATATATTTCTTTCGTCTCAAAATAAGTGTCTCAATTTTTATACAAAGTTGAGACACTTATTTTGTGATAGAGGGAGTAGTATTTTGTAAATCAAATGCAACAAAAAAAACTTCATCGACCTAAAAATAGTAAAATTTTGAAGAGAAGTGAGTATATAGCTACAGCGAAATATACTTTTCGCGAAAAAAAAGCTACAGCGAAATATACGGTATGATTGGAATTTATAACTACTTTGGATTCCTGGGAAATTTTGAATCGTAGTACGAACAAGTACTATAACAAACACGCACTACAGCGAAAGTTTGAGTACTTACCATCATCATGGCCCTAACGTTGTCGCGGGTGAAGCGGAGGTCGTCCTCCCCGCTGGCTTGGTTCGCATCAGCGAGGAGCGCGAGTAGGCCGTCTACCATGTCAGCGTCGGCGTCGTCGGGGTTCTTGCCCCTCCTCACGTGCTCGTCAATGATCTTGTCCACAAACGTTCCGAGAGCGCCGCGCACGGTGCGGAGGCCGCGGTCGAAGCCCCGCCGGCCCATCCAGCTAAGCCAAGGGAAGAAGTCACCGACGTGGAACGCTTCTAAGAACTTGGAGAACTCCTTGAACATGGGGATGAACTCGTCTAGCCCTTGGACGTCCCGCACGCCGAAGGCGGCCCGGAAGATGATGCTCACGGTGTGCTTGAAGATGAGCTCGCCGAGGTTCACGGCCTCGCCGCTGGACCTGCCGACGGCCCTGGCGAGCTCCCCGTACCCGTCGCGCACGGCCAGCCAGGTCTCGGCGCGCCGGCGGCTGAAGAGCTTGGTGACGCACAGCTTGCGCATCTGGCGCCAGTAGGGCCCGTCGTGCGCGAACGCCATGTCGGAGCAGCCGTAGGTGAGGTAGCGGATGACGATGGAGGCTGGACGGTACCAGAAGTCGCTGTCCTGCGCCTGGAGCACCTCGCGCGCGTACTCCGGGGTCGACACCGCGAAGACGCGGAGCGAGCCCAGGCGGAGGTGCAGCAACCCGCCGTACTGCTTTGCCAGCGCCGCCAGGCCACGGTGGGTCAACTGGTCCGCCATCATCATGTTGCCGATGATCGGCAGCGGCTTGGGGCCTGGAGGGAGCGGCGGCGGGTTCAGCCGCCGTCTTTGCAGGATGACCAAGGCCACCGACGCAAGAAGAAGCCAGATGAGGGGATCGTGCAGGCACTCCATGGCGATCTTTGCAAAGGCCGCCATTGAAAGTAGTCGGCAACTTACGAAGTTACACGATAGTGATACTAGCACTAACTACTGCCTCAGTAGAAGAAGAAGCTTGGCTGTTAATCAGTGAGGAGAGGATGGGCTTTATATATTGTTTGTTCAGCGTTTCTGCACGCACATGTATGTGGTCGTTATCATCGAACTGTCAAATGCGTCTCTAAATTTCATATAAAACTATCTTCCAAATCGAACTAGCAATTCCCGGCCTCTGCCTCGTCCACCTCTCTCCTCGCCATCACCGCCCAGAATCAGCGGCGTCGCTTGCGTCCTCCTGCACATGCACATGCACCTACACTGCTCGCGCAGGCGCGGCTCGTCCTCGTTGACCCACAGCGCCATGCCCCCCCTGGAGACTTCTTATCTGTATTCTATACACGTACACGCATCCCAAATCTCCCCAGAATTTGAAAAAACTGTCACCATCCTCCTCATCTTTACCATCGGTAAAAGTATATCAACCTCATATGAATAGCGGAATCCTTGCTGCCAGCAATCAAACACTTTTACATTTATTTGGGTTTTGGATGTTTGATTTGATTATTGTTGTGCATTGTATGATACAACCCTAGACTTGACAACATTGTTTGGCGTACGGTGGCGAAAGGGTACCGAGACTAGTTCTTGCTGGCATTCTCGAACCCAGGTGGAGTGATGACCTGTTTGGCATAGGTCGATATGGACTTGGTGCAGGTCGTTGCGGTGTGTGCCTCACCGATGGGGATTTGCGGGTGAAGTCGGAGTCGCTGGCTCACGGAGAACGGGAGGAGTGATGACGGTGACACCCAGGGGCGGACTTGGACTGAAAATTATTCGGTGTCCACATAAAAGAACACACACCTACATGTCAAACAATCAATGACCTACACACTAAATCAATGGATTATATTAAGCAAGTGCAAATTGGACACGGTGCGAGTGACACCGGCTAGCTGTACGTAGCTACGCCCCTGGTGACACCTGTAGTCTGCCTCGATGGTGCTCCTCTCTCGACGGCGTGTGTGAGTCTTGTGTGGATAGCCAGGTTGGCCAGTGTGCCCCTTCGCGGGATGTAGCGGTTTTTGCCCGGTTTTCCGTAATTAACCGGGCAATTCTTTTCTTCTTTATTAATGAGATGTGGCAAAGCTTTTGCCGCCGTTTAAAAAAAACAAGTGGGCAACGGAGAGTGATGCTCTGTTCTACCTATTTGCTAGGAAGACGAGCGGCAATGCCATTATAGCGCTCTGCACGTGCGGAAACACACATAAACGATGGTTCCTGCGTGCGTAGGCAGTTCCCATGGCATGTGTGGTTCTGCCCTCGCTCCATCCTGCCCTCATTCGTGTTGTCGGCCCAACCCCCTAGTTCCACATTGCCTGACCATCCTCACCCCCAACCCGTACCGCCTCTCACCCACCCCATGGCCACTTCTTCCTAAGCCCGATGCTTAGCTCTCCATCAATGCCCAATGGACCAGCCCGACTCTGTCGTCGCATCCGCAAGTATTAATTCACACCGTCGCCTAGCACTCCAACCCTGGTTGCATCCCTATGGCATTGTAACACCTTGTTCCCCTCGTCCTCCTGCAAATCAAGCCAATCAGTTGAGCCCCACATGCCGATCTTATCGCCATCGCCTCGGCATGGCATAAGCCCTCCGGAGGCTATCTAACCCAGAGCTCTCCCCCTACCCCCTGATCTTGCTAGCAAGACGAATCGAACCGCGATGCCCTTCTTCCTCCCCTCCAAAGTGAACAACCGCCACTCATTCCTCATCAATGTCGAGCGAACCAAAGCCCCCTCATGCAAGTATTTCCCTATCAAGATAGGTAGAAGGTTTTCATACGTCTACGTGCTTTAATTCGGATAAAGTAAAGCCAAAGGAGGAGATCCCGCAAGCTCGCCAGAGGAATCGTCTGGGAAGGCACGACTCCGGTGACTATGCTAGGAGGGAGGTTGATGAGTGGATTTTACAGTCATATTTACCCTCATTTAAACAAGATATTTTCATAAATTTTATGCGTTTATCACTTCAACCTACCTACTAATCACTGATAATTGTAAACATGTGCAAATCTTCTTGTTAATTATATTCTTGCAGAATGGACATATTTAGGAAGAAATCAAGTCATATATGATATTGTACTCGAGAAGAGGACCATTTCCATATGAAATGGGGTGCCAAAGAGTTAGCTGAAGAGAAGACTACCAATGGTACGAGCGAGAGCCCTCGTACAAGAAGTCATGCCCGATGCCACCGCCTTCGTGACGTTCGCACAAGAATGTTTTGTGTTGGGACCGAGGTCCAATTATCAACGAGGCATCCTTAGAACTATATTCCGTCCATCTTCACTATATAATAGACGATAAAGACTCCTAAAAGTCTATCTCCGCACCATCACTTCGTTCGCCATCATAGCTGCAACAACCACCATCTCCTTCTCAATTAGATCAATACTTGTCATCAAAATCTCATCGTAGTCAATGATGTTGTAAGACGATTAATCATTCATCTTCAAACACCAGGGAAGAGGGGGTGGCGCGGCTAGTCAGCCGCTGGTAGGGCGGCGTCGTCACTAGGGAGATGTGTCACGGGAAGAGGCCGCATTGGGGGAACTGCCGAGATGTGTGTGTGTGGCTGTGTTTTTTGTTGTGTGAGGTTACATTGCTGGGGGGTTTTGTTCGTTGTGGAGTGCGGCGATGGTTAAGCGGTGGAGCGAAACACAGGAAAGGAAACCTTATTCTTTTTGTAAGTAAGTACATAAAATTTCTAACATAGGACCATCACATTTTGAAGCTTTATACTCATGCTCAAACCAGGACTAACACTTTCGGTTGTATTTGTTCAAAAGCAACAATAAAATAAAGCATGTACTTGTACTAATATTGTCAACATCAATTACCTTGTCGTTCCTTCACAACAACCATATTGAAACCATTCTGATCATGTTCTCCTTCAAGATGAACAAGATAATACCCATGATCAAAGCTTAGAAAATATTTTGCTGCTAACACAAATAAAGGTTATGGTCCACATGGAATTGAGTTGCGCTAGGTTGGCAGCTTGACAATGCTGGAGCTCTGATTGTGGCAATGTGCGTCGTGGTAGACACTAAAGACGGACCAAGGGATAGTGACGACCATGTCAGCGGATGCGGGAACCCTAGGGGCCATGCTTGCATGATTCGCCAACGCGAACGTTGTGGAACATTCCCCAACAGTAGTCCTCTATGTTATAATCGAATTTGTCACGTCCCCCTCTATCACTGCCTCCACCTCCACCTTCTTCTCGACATGCTGCCGGCTCCTCCGGTCTACGGCTCACCGGTGGAGCCTCGAGCATTGTAGTGAGCCCCTGGGCGCTCGGAGACATGGTGGCATGGGGAGCGGCGACATATTCTAGGTTTAGGTAACAAAATATTTGATTCGTGTATGGGTAGGGAAGCCACATAATGTTTTGGTTTAGTTGAGTTTTGGTAAGATTTTATTTTATTTGGTATGGATAAGCGAATGCAAGAGAAGTTTTGATTTAGTTGAGGATTTTTTATCTAATTTAATTGAGGTTTTGATAAGATTTCATTTGATTTCATTGACTTATGCAGGAAATTGTTTTTGGAGGAGGTGCGATGGACGAATATACAAACACCAAATCTAACGTCATATGGTTAGGTTCCTTGTGGTGGAACCAACAGATCAAGGTACAAATCCTAAACATGGCACTCGTGGTCGCATTTTCATGGATTTATTTCAAGTCTTCCGGTGATGTGCGTTCAATGGGAGGAGACGTTTCCATCGACTACGAAGACGTATGTGGTGACTTCGCCAATCTCAAGATATGTCAGCTCAGTCTCTTAGAGGTGCTCATAGGGATAAGGTATGTGTGCATGAAGCATAAGTGTGTGTATGTATGCAATGGTGGAGCTTGCACAAAAAGAATGGGCGGGCCGGGCTATAAGGATTGCTACTAGCTGAAATTTTGTGATCCATGGGCTGGCTATAATACGAGGAGAAGCTCCAGAGCTGGGCGGGCCACAGCCCATTCGGCTTTGCCTAAGCCTAAGTTCTGCCAGTGTATGTATGTATGTATGTATGTATGTATGTAAGTATGAGTTGTATTTGTAGTATGTTTAAAAAATCTAACATCACAACAACAGACTTCTCCTTAATAGTAAATATATAGTATTACTATTATTAAATAAAATCCTGCATGCAAACTACCATCCTATGCTTCTTGTGAAATCAACGTATAGCCCATACTGTGTGCTCGCTAAGATTGTAGACGGTGTAAACATGTTTTGATCTTAGTAAAATTAGCCACGACAGTCTTCCCTCGAATATAAAGTGGTGACCTAAAACGTCTAACATTTGTTTACGAAGGAGTATTTTTTTGTGGTGATTTCACCTTTTTTTTGTTTTCATTCTTTTCTTCCTTTTTATTTTTTTATTTTCATTATTGTTTTAATCCCTTTTCAAACTCATGATCTACAATTCATGAATATCTTCAAATCCATGAACTTTATCAAATTTTGTGAACTTTTAAGTCCTCACACAATTTTTTCCAAATTCATGAACTTTTTCCAAATCCATATACTTTTTCAAATGCATATTTTTTTATATTCATGAGCTTTGTTTCAAATCCATGATTTTTTTTCCAAATTCACATACTTTTTATAAATCCGTGAATATTCCCAAATTCACAAACGTTTTTCAAATTCGTGAACTTCAAAAAAATATAAACTTTTTTTCGAATCCTCTAACTTTTTTTAAAGTCATGCATGTTTTTCAAATACGTGAACCTTTTCAAATTCAGGAAAAAAATTGAATAGGTGAACTTTTTTCAAACACGTAAACTTTTTTCATGAGATTTTTCAAACATCTAGGATTTTTTGATAGCCAATGGTCGCTGATTAACCGTTGATTGGACGAACGAGGGGGGAGGGGACCAACAAGCGATATGGGCCGACCCACGGCAGCGAGCGCATGCGTGCCGGTTCGCTCCTG